ATAATCTACTTTATTAAATTCTCAGTGCCATTTTTGGCAGGCATTGCAGTGAAACTGGATACTTCCTCCAAAACAGGCAGAACTTAAAAAATAGCTACATACACAAAAATCACCAAAGACAGGTTTCTTGGAAGTGCACCTAAACCTTTCTTTCTTTTTAAAAATCATTAGACAGCTGATTATTCCTTTGTTCAAATACATATTCCAATAAACACTTACTAAGTACCTGCTAAGAACCAGGCATATAGATATAAAGATAGATTAAGCCTTGCTCCTCAAGCTCCAGGATTTACATGTGAAAAGATAACAGTGTATGAAGTCTCATGAAAGAAGTAAGTCCAGGATGCATGGGGAACCACAACAGCATGGTCTTGGAGGAACTGATCCCTGAGTAGTCCTGAGATGGGTAGGTGAGGGCCAGGTGTGGAAGAGGAGGAAGAATGGTCCAGCAGAGTGAGGCATGCATAAAAAGACCAAAACCTTTAGAGAATGTGGCCAGTAGATCAGAAGAGCTGGAGAGTGGGGATCTGCATCAGGGGAGAGGGGAGAGAGAAGGAGGGAGACAGAAGCTGACGAAGGCGTCTGGAGAAAGTGGCAGGGACCAGATCAGGAAGGATTTTAATGTTGCAAGCTGGGAATCATTGGCTTTAGCCCAAAGGCAGTGGGGAACCTTGGCCAGAGAGTGTTAAGTCTTCTGATCAGAGGATCAGTCTGGCAGCAGTGGTGGGGACGTGATGGAAGGCAATGATAACGAAAACCAGCAAAGAGGCTACAGCAAAACTCCAGGTGATGAATAACCAGCGTCTCAATAAAAGCAGTAGCTGTGCCTACAGTGAGGAGGGGGCAGATCCATGAGTTATTTGGCAGACAGACTGGGACATAGTGATTTTACTGCGCACAGAGAAAGAGGGAGAGGAGGGAGGAAAGAGTAGCTTCAGGGTGCAGATCTGGGTATCTGGCTGCACGACGGTCATGTTCCCTGGGTCACAGAAGACTAGAAGAGGTGCAGGCCTGGGGGAAAATGAAGGGGTACCTGGGAAGAGCAGTTTCCAAATAGGACATGTATCTCAGCTTGTCTGTCACGTGGGAGCCATTGGGGATGGTTTGAATAAATCCTGCTTTCTGGTTTTGATAGCAAGTGATCTGTGATGTCTTTGTAGTACTCGACGTCACTACTCTTTCCCTGGGTCAAATTCACTTGTGGGTATGGATGGCTGTGGCAGTGAGTATATAGAAGGTCAGACCAAGGGATAGGAAACCCTTCAGGAAAGGGGACTGATCATTTACATATCAATTTCCCCCCCACCACACACAACCAATGGGGAATAGCAATGTGGAGATGGGGTGTGGAACCTGCATCTGGATGCCTGCTTTTGGAAGGAGCTCTTTGATCCTGTGGGGGAATTGGGCTCAGCAGGGTTAAGGCATAAAAGAAGATCGATTTTCCAGAATAGTTCCAAGTGGGCAATGTGCTACATGGAGGAGTTGGTCAGGAATGAACCATCCCAAAGGGCAGGCTGGTATAATAACACAGGGGTCTGGGACTGGGCTTGGGGAAGCCAGGCAAAGGGACTCAGGGGTTGCCACAAAGATGCCAGGAGAAGATAGCATGTGTCAGGAGGACTCAGTGCAGGATGAGGCTGTTCAGGTCTTTTCAGACACAGAGCTCAGAAACAGCAGCTCTGATTGGCAGTCAGGGAAGCAGTCCACGGGGAGCGGGGAATAAGGTTGGTCAAGCTGGCCCTTCCGGCCAGCACTCACGCTAAAGGAAATAGAATCCTGGGGTCTGAGATGTCAAGCCAAAATATGAAAGGAGAGGTAGGGGCACCAAGAAGCAGGGAGAGGTCAGCCATAGGTTAAGAGGCTTAACAAATCTGTCTGGGAACAACAAAGAAGCTGGGGTCCAAAGGTCTGGGATTCTTGGATTTGCTACTGCTAAGCCCTTAAGAGCTCCCTGGCACCACCAGAAAGGGTCTTCTGACAATATGTGGCTCTCATATTATGTGGCCACTTTCCTCTTCTACCCCACATGCTCTCCCTATTAACTGCCCCAAAACCGAACAACTACAGCTCCCAGAACACGTTGTGCTATTTCACACCCATTGTTTCATACCTATTTTCTTTTCCTAGAAATATGCTTCTACTGCTTTGCCTACCCGGAGAAAGCTTCTCATCCTTTAAAAGCAAGCTACAATGTTCCCTACTCTAATCCTCACAATATAATATCATTGCACATACTAGACTGTATGGCAATTGATAAAAAATGAAGGTCATGCACCTCATGCTTGGCATGTAGTGCGCTTGCAATATGTGCTGATAAGTGAATAGAAGCATATATCCTAATATGGGTCTAGTTCACCCTTCTCTGCCTGGGGTGCTGACACAGTAATACATTCCTCTAACTGGTTTGTTTCCAGAGCCTTAGCCATACTGTCTAACAGGCATTTTAGCAGAAAAGACTCCTGATTGATAGGTGCTGGCCTCAGCTCAGACCAACCTTGCAGCCCCTCTGGGTCTCTGCAGTCCCTCAGCCAGCACAGAGGCTCAGCTCTGCAAAGCAAAGGCAATAGTGGGACAATGTCAACCACATATCCTACTGCAGTCATCCAGTGAGTTGGCCCTTCAGAGGATGACCTGAAGAGAGAGACGTAATTCTAGGAAGGGGATTCTGAGCCTTGGGGGAGGAAGAGGAGGAACAATGGGCTCCAAGAGATTCATGATCCATCACGAGGATGGGCATCTTTTGTGGGGAGGACAGTTCACAGCATTCATACGATTTACTAAGAGGCCCTTGACTATTAAATATTAATATTCACCATTCCAGAAATACACTTTGCTTGAGGCAGCTCTGCTCAGAGCACCAGCTGCTGAATCCAGATCCCAGAGGACTTGGTCATGGTCAGGACAGATCAGGGAAGGAAGCTGAGTTCCCCTACAGCTCAGCATTTACACACTCCCATACCATCCCAAGAGAAGCCTTTCTCAAGGCAGATGTACATATTTTAAAGAATGTCCATGATCTGTGTCTTGTACAACTTCAAACGCAGTGAGTAAGAGGGAGTAAGGCTCAGGATACCTCTACCTTGACCTTTATATTCCTTAGAACAATAAACCTGCCAGAGAATAAAAAATAAAAGGCAAATCTCCAGGGTCTCATTCGTGATGAAAAGTTTGGTTTGACCTCGCGGTCTCAGTCCTGAGCTCAGGAAACGCTAATAAATAGACAAATCCTGAGTAATGGCTCTTTTACATTTGCCTTTTTTTTTTTTTTCTGGCAGAGAAGCATGTGGTGTTAGAAGGCAGCAGATAAAGGCTTTCCATACTAAAGGGGCAAGAAGCACACAAAAGAGAAAGCAAACCTAAAACTGGAGAGGCTGACACTAAACTCTGGGGAATTGAGAGTCACTTTTTACCCACATTCTGTAAAGGGCAGAAAAAACACAGGAAAAAGTTTCTACTGAAATATGTGTGTTTTGTTTTTACGTTTTTTGACTAGAAAAATATGCATCACTCAAATCCACTCAGATATCTGAATATCTGCTGGACGTTTTTTGTTTGTCTGTTTGCTTGGTTCCTACTGTTCCTTCCCTGAGTTCTGAAAAGATAATTAAAAAAGAATCCTCAGAGTGAACCTTTAAGTTTTAGTTGTTAGAAGCACATACCTTTGTACCCAAACACATGTGGGCTCTGTCATTAACTTGCTAAGTAATCTGGATAAGTTTCTGAATCTCTTTAAGAACCCAATTCTTCAGCAATGAAAATGGAAGTATGAATAGTACTGACTTCAAAGAGCTGCTGAGGGAATTAAGTGAAATGATGCATTAAAAAAATCTTAGACTAACCTGGCATACTACAAGCATTCAATAAATGGTAGCTAAACAATAGAAGTAACATCTCTGTCAATAAAGAAAAACAATTCTAAGGACACATTTTTGTGCACAATCATGCAAGCTATAACAAGCAGAAAGGAAGAAAAACAAACAAACAAACAAACAAACAGAAACAGTAGGCCTGTGTTCTTTAGTGAAAATTCCCTGCTTTATACCTTAGAAGGGGTGTCAGACTGTCTTCCTCACCTTCACGTGAGTTCGGGTCCGGCAGAGAAGTGTCCCCCCTCCCCTATAACAACATGGGTCATCCGTCCAGGCCCATGGAAAGCGCAGAAAACCACAGCCTGTGCCATCATGCTTTCTGCCCACCTCCACTACCCAGCTTAGCCAAGTGGCTGGACGGTTCTCCTATGATCATTATCCTTCAGAAGCTATTAGCACCGCATTTGTCTTTTCTCCAAAACAATTTTTGTCTCTTTTCACCATGTTAGAAAAAATCTTCCCTTAGTTTTTCTTTCTTTCTTTTTTTTTTTCTTTTAAAGCATAGCAGCCTGGGGGAATTCCTCCACACTTTGGACAATCACTCCAGCTAAGTTTGCAGGGAATGGTGTCTGCCCTAATTGGCAAGCTTCATTCCTGCTCACCTCTTATTCAGACCACAAAAAATAATTTCAGCAAACGTTCTGCTCACGTCATAGTTTTGCATCCATGCTGATCTCTAGGGAGCCATTATTAATCCCAAGTACGTTTTCTCTAAACGTGTCTCCCAAATTCGAGTCCTACTTCTTCCAAGATTTCTATATGGCTTTTCTTACTCAACACTACGTTAAACCAAAATTCTATTTCTTTCTAGTTAAACTATCTTCCCCATAGCGGAGAAAGAAAAGAAAACAAGGCTTTCTTGTTTCATTTTATCAAAGAAAGCTGACTTAGCTTATTAATTATAAATAAACAACAGAGATGTAGGTTAAGGACTCTAGATAACTCCCTTATCATTTACCAATTCCTTCAGTATCAGGGAAGCATGGCTTGGCACCAGGATTGGGAAAGATAGGATTCCACATGTCCGCCACTTTGGACATTCCTTATTTCTATGCTTTCAATAAGTGGCAGCCACAGTTTACACGAGCACAGAGTTCAAAGAAAATCACAACAATCAAACTTCCTTACCCGGCAGTCTCTCTGCAGTGTTTTCATAAGCGCGTTGTATGTTTCTGTATCAAAATACAACCCTTCGTGCATGTCTTGCAGGAAGTCTAAGTCCTTAAACGTGGGGTTGGATTTCTCTCTCTCTTTACGGGATGCTCTCCGCTTATACGTTGAGCCTTTCAAGTCATATGTAAAGTGCATTCTCATGGAACGTGGCAAAACGTTGTTCATCACCACAATCCTGATATTAATGCCTCCTGATTGCATACAATACAGTCCGTAAAATTTTGGCAAAAGAGTCCTTGGATTCTGGTTTAAATTCTAGAAACCAAAACAAGAAAAATATATTTACAATCTTCTATTTTGACAAAATAATGTTCCACTAAAGATGTGTTTTCATGCTGATATGATAATTAAAAATGGAATGTGATTATCTTTATTAATGTCCATTACTAAAATTTTGCTGTTTCTAATCTATTTCTTAAGTCTGCTTATTGGACAGCAATTTTATTATTCTAAACTCAGGGCAGTGAAAGTGACTGAATTGAAATTGGACATAATGTCCCAAATTGGCTCCAACTAAAAACAGGCAAGGAATTGACTGGTGCCATGAGTGACTATTCTCTAAGGTAGCTAAAGAGAAAACGAATTGCCAAGGTATAAGGGATGAACATTTAAAATTTTAATAGCTCCTGCAAAACTGTCTTCCAAAATGGCAGACCAATTTACAACCACACTATGTAAGATTGTACATAGATTTTCCCGTCACTCTTACCAGTGCTGAATAGTACCCAAACTTTAAAATCTTTATAAGCATGATTAGTGAAAAATGGAAACCTGTTTTTAAAAATTTGAATGCCACTGATTATTTATGTATTTTTAGTCACCTTAAAGATAATTTTGCTCATTTTTTTTCTGTAGGTTTTTGTCACTGTTGAAATTCTTGATATATTCTGGATATTTAACATTTCTCTCATCTATATGGGGTAGTTTCTTCCAGTCTGTTGTCTTTTTTATTATTTAAAAAAATAGGGAGGCCAGGCGCTGTGGCTCATGCCTGTAATCCCAGCACTTTCGGAAGCCGGGGCGGGCGGAACATGAGGTCAGGAGTTCGAGACCAGCCTGGCTAGCACAGTGAAACCCTGTCTCCACTAAAAATACAAAAAATTAGCCTGGTCTGGTGGCACACGCCTGTAGTCCCAGCTACTCAGGAGGCTGAGGCAGGAGAATTGCTTGAACCTGGCAGGCAGAGGTTGCACTGAGCCGAGATAGCGCCACCGCACTCCAGCCTGGGTGACAGAGCAAGACTCCGTTTCAAAAAAAAAAAAAAAAAAAAAGAAAGAAAGAAAAAAAAGGGAATACATAATACATACCTATTTTTGTTCCCTTTTGAAGTAGATAAGAAATTAAAATAGTTTACAAAAGGGCATGTGTTCAATGAAAAGTGTCTCCGCTATCCTTGATTCTTCCCCCAATTCTCAACATTTGAGAAAACCACTGCTCTCACTTTATTTCATTCCAGAAATATTCAATGAGCTTATATTAATTTTGTGTCTGGTACTTTTTGTTATATAAATGTGTTGCCTTTAAAAAAAATTTTTTTTTTAAATTTTTTGAGAGACGGAGTTTTGCTCTGTCACCCAGACTGGACTGCAGTGGCATGATCTTGGCTCACTGCAACCTCCGCCTGCCAGGTTCAAGTGATTCTCCCGCCTCAGCTTCCCAAGTAGCTGGGACTACAGGTGTGTGCCACCACGCCCAGCTAATTTTTGTATTTTTAGTAGAGATGGGGTTTCACTATATGTTGGCCAAGCTGGTCTCGAACTCTTGACCTCAAGTGATACTCCTGCCTTGGCCTCCCAAAGTGCTGGGATTACAGGCATGAGCCACTGCACTTGGCCTAAATGTGTTGCCTTTTGATGTGGTCATATTTATTTACTTGTTTCTTATTTTTGTGTGTGTGTGTTTGCTTTTTGTTTATTTTTTTTTTTTGAGACGGAGTCTCGCTTTGTCGCCCAGGCTGGAGTGCAGTGGCCGGATCTCAGCTCACTGCAAGCTCCGCCTCCCGGGTTTTACGCCATTCTCCTGCCTCAGCCTCCCGAGTAGCTGGGACTACAGGCGCCCGCCACCTCGCCCGGCTAGTTTTTTGTAATTTTTAGTAGAAACGGGGTTTCACCTGGTTAGCCAGGATGGTCTCGATCTCCTGACCTCGTGATCCGCCCGTCTCGGCCTCCCAAAGTGTTGGGATTACAGGCTTGAGCCACTGCGCTCAGCCTGCTTTTTCTTTTTAACAAAGCTTTTTTATATCCCAAAGTCATAAACTTTTATTTTCTTCCAAATTTTTAATAGTTTTGGTCATTACAGTTGGTCTTTACTCCCTATGGAATTAATTTTGTGTGTATGCGAAAGATCTGAAATAGAGAATTTAATTTTTTCCTCAAATGGATACTTATTGAACAGTCTGACATTTTCCAATTGAGTTTAAATCCCCCCATGTCAATACAATAAGTAGACAAATTCACACAGATCTATTTCTGAACACTTTATTTGAATCCATTAATTTATCTGTCTAAAACTGTACTCATCCTACATCCTTAACATTAGTTACAGCCTTACAGATTTTTGGTATATGCTATAGCAGGCCTACTATTTTTCTTCTTTTTCAAAAACGTTTTCTCCATTCTTACAAACTTTCTGTTTCATTGTTCATTTTAAAAAACATTCTTCAAATGAGACTTGCTCGCACTTTCACAGAAATCGGCTTTGTCAAGCTATGTTGAAAAATCCTATTAGAATTTTTGCTTGGAATTAGACTGGATTTATCAGTTGATTTGGGAGCAGTTGAAATCTTTACAATACTGAGTTCAGGAACAATGCATATTTCTTCATTATTTCAGATCTTTTTTATGTCCTTCAATAACATTTTGTAGTTTCCTTCATATTGGGTTTGTAACATTGTTTTTATAGATTCAAGTATTTTAGCATTTTTCTTATCACATTCTTTCTGAACTGATTATTGTTTATGTTTTCCACGTACTATATCTTGCTTTCCCAATCAGAATTACAGTACTCACATGACTTTATTTACTTATTTCTTTATTTTTCTAATAATGTTCATTATAAGTTGTTGTCATCATGAACAGGATCTCTTTTTTCTCTTATATTCTCCTAGTCTATATCATCTATATAATGGAATATAATGGATTTTGTAGATTTATCTTTTATCCTGCAAATCTGCCACAGTCATATCACTTCTAGAAATTCCTGATTTATTTTCTTGAAGGTTTGCTCATTTTGAATTCTGTCATTTAAAGAGAACAGTGCTTGTACTTATTTTGTATTTCTTTTTGTACTCAAGACTCAATGCCAGAATTTCTAGCAAATTTATCAGAAAGGACTATTGATGGGAGGGTCATTCTGGTCTATTCCTATTGTTTCTAGAGAAAGGATTCTTGTTTTTCTCCATGAGCTATTACATGAACTTTTGGAAGACTGATAAATGTACAACTCGTGTATTCATTTATTTACTATGTTTTTTTTTTAAAAAATCTCCCCTGCTACTTTTTAGAATTTTAATTAAGCAAAGATGTTGAATTTTGAGGGCCTTAGCTTCTCCTCATCTATTTGGGTAACCACATGATGTTCACATTTTTTCTTGTTAATGGGATGGATTATATTGTTATACCAGCTTACATAATTGGGATAAAACCACTTGTTCAGCTAAATTTAATTTTTCTTTTTTTTGAGACAGGGTTTTATCTGTCCCCCATGCTGGAGTGGCTTGATCACAGTTCACTGCAGCCTCAACCTTCCAGGCTCAAGTGATCCTTCCACTTCTCAGCCTCCCAAGTAGCTGGGACCACAGGTGTGTGCCACCATGCCTGGATAATTTTTTATTTTTCTTGTAGAGATGGGGTTTCACCATGTTGCCCAGGCTAGACTTGAACACCTGGGCTCAAGTGATCTACCCACCTTGGCCTCCCAAAGTGCTGGGATTACAGGTTGAGCCACCATGCCTGGCTCTTAACTTTTTTTCTAATTTTAATTAAATATAAGTAGTCACATATGGCCAATGCAGTTTTACAAGAGGACAAGTATATCTGAGCTCAGAATTATGGAATTTTAAGATTTAGTAATTAAGCAGGTTATAAAATAATATTATATCAATTTGATCCTAATTTCAGATAATTTTAAAATGTGTGCACGAACAAAGTATAATTGAAGGCACATATACCAAATTTTAGTAATATATATTTCTAGGAAAGAAACTATAGTTAGTTGAATTTTTTTTGGCTTTTATATATTTTCTGTTTTCTCTAAAAAAAAAAAAAATACTTGTTCAGCATTGAAATCTTTTAAAATCTGCCTGCAGGCCACTAAGATTTTTATTGAGATTTTTGATTTCTATACTTCTATATGAGATTAATTTAAGTATTTAATGCTGTGTCTAGCAGATTTTGGAATAAAATTATATTTTTACATAAAATGATTACATGGCATCTCATGAATGAATTTTTAAAAATAAAGATGACATTTATCACCACTCATAGCAAGTGACTGGCAGAACTTAAGCTTCTGAAATCCAGACAGCTTCATGTAGCCCTTCCAATCATAGAAAATTAATAACTGTTATGAAAGTACAATGAAACTGGAGGTATGAAAATGACTGGACGATTTAGGAAAAGTGGGGTTAGTTTTGAAAATTTTGGAGTAAATGTGTAGTAAATCCATCCAGGCTAGGTTACTGTTCCTTTGTCTCTAAAAGATTACATGAAGGGTGATTTTTCATAGTATCATATTTACCTATGAAATTATAAATTCTGAAGTCTAGTAGCTGGGAAGAGCTAACATAGAATATGTGCTGGTGTATTAGTGTAGGGGTGAAAAATGCATTCTCTGGAGCCCTTTCTGTTTGTGTAGCACCAGCTCTGCAGCTCTCCAGTTGAATCACCCATGGCAAGTTACTTAATTTATCTTTGCCTCAATTACCTCTTCTATAAAATGGTGATCATTGTAGTATCCAAGGTTGCTGTGAGGATTAAATGAGTTAATGAATGCAAAGCACTTAAGGCCTTGCTTAACATGTAATAAGCGAACAATGAAAGTTAACCATTTATACGATTACTGCGTACTGGCTGCAAAGAGCTTTGCAACGCATTGCTTCCTTTATCTTTCCTTTATTATATATCCTGTATCCTTGCTTTATCACAACAACTATGTAAGATAAGTCTTTCTCAGCTTTCAAAGACTGAGGGAGCTAAGGCTCACCAGTTATGCTGCTTACTCAGGGTCACACAAGTAATTATTGGCTGGGTTGGGATTTGAACTCAGGATTGTGGGATTCAACAACTATGCTCTGCCATTCAGTTCTAGTTTACTTTAAAACATCTATTCAATGAATGTCACAGCATACTTTAAATGCAGAATAAAGCTTACCAAAGAGAAAGAAACATGCCTGAGTCATTGAAAAAACAACAGAAAAAAACTGTTGAGGAAAGTAATTAAACTTCAAGTAGAAGCTTTCATGATGTGCAGTTCCTTACCATGTAATAGCCCGGCAGGAGCTTCTGAAGAAACTCAGCTTCTTTGTGCTGAACTGTTTTGATGATAAATTCATCATCACTGGTCACAAAAAACAAGGATCCACTGGCTCCAGGGTTAGACAGTTCTATTAGAGGTTCACTGCAGATGGAATACTAAAAGAGTAAATGAATAAACATTAAAACATACACTTGATGTACGTGATACCTCCAAGGAGGACAATCATAGCACTGCACATCTTGGCTATGTTGAAACAAGAAGCTCTCTCTATGGGCTTTAAAAGAGGCTCCACATATACCAAGAAGGCTCTCTGTGAGATTTCTACAGATTTAATTGGTCTGTTTATCTTAATAATTCTATGATGAAAAACAGACATACACTCTTTACTCCCAGAGTCATGCAATAGCATCATGAATCATCCTATCTGTCCAATGAGATAATTCAGTCGTGTTGACTAAGGTGCTTTGTTTCCAGCAAATGTCCATAAAATAACAAGTGAAGATGTGATCCGCACTGTGTTTTATCCCTTGAACACCAACCCTATTCTCTTTTCATGATTTTCCCAGAAGATGTCATCTACTCACGGTTTCAACAAGGAGATGACTTCAACATCTGTATCTCCAGCCCAGATCTTTCACTAGGGCTCAAGACCTGTTCATCTAACACTTTAATAGACATTTCTATTTTGGTTATACCACAAACAATTTATATGCCAGAAGTTCACAATCAAGTTAATCTCAAGGCTGTGGTTAGCCCATATGGTGCCTTTGTGGTAATTAGAGAGATGCAGCTCCGGGCCAGGATACAAAGTTGGTGAGTAGAAGAAAGGCTGGGGCCAGGCGTTGTGGCTCATGCCTAAAATCCCAGCACTTTGGGAGGCTGAGGTGGGTGAATGATGAGGTCAGGAGATCGAGACCATCCTAGCTAACACAGTGAAACCCTGTCTCTACAAAAAATTAGCCTGGAATGGTGGTACGCGCCTATAGTCCCAGCAACTTGGGAGGCTGAGGCAGGAGAATCTCTTGAACCTGGGAGGTGGAGGTTGCAGTGAGCCGAAATCGCAACATTGCACTCCAGCCTGGGCAACAGAGCGAGACCCCACTCAAAAAAAAAAAAAAAAAAAAAAAAAACGGCTGGATTCCAGTCTCCACTCCTTCCCCTTGGCCAGCTAGGAGAGCTTGAGCAGTGCACAGCCTGCACAACTGCACATGGTGACCCTAGATCATCTGCTCCCTGTTCTCTGCCTTTTCCCTCTTTCCCTTAGAGAATGGAAGCATTATTTGCCTTGTTCCGCAAACCAGAAACTAGGGCATCATCCTTGACTCATCGCATTTTCCCATCTTTCCTATCCAGACTGTTGATGCTACTTGCTCACTTCTGCCAACATCCTAAGTTCAAAAGTTTCATCATTTCATGCCTGAATTGTTATGGCAAGCTTCTGGTCTTAATTTTCCACGCTCATCCCCTCCAGTACATTCACCAGGAAACTAGGCATCTTTCTGAAATGCAAATCTCTTCATGTTTTTCTGGGCTTTCACATCTTTTGCAGAAAGACAAACATTGCACGTTCTCACTTATTTGTGAGATCTAAAAATCAATGGTTCTTAACAGAGCTTTCAAAGGCCATGAATGACCCAGCCTCCTCCCCAGCCTTCCCTCTCATGACTTCCTCCTTCAGCTTTAGCTCTAGCCCCAGAGACCGACTTCTCATGTTCTTTTTTTTTTTCAGTTTTTAAAAAATTTATTTATTTATTATACTTTAAGTTCTAGGGTACATGTGCACAATGTGCAGGTTTGTTACCTATGTATACGTGTGCCATGCTGGTGTGCTGCACCCATTAACTCGTCATTTACATTAGGTATATCTCCTAATGCTATCCCTCCCCCCTACCCTCTTCCCACGACAGGCCCTGGTGTGTGATGTTCCCCATCCTGTGTCCAAGTGTTCTCATTGTTCAATTCCCACCTATGAGCGAGAACATGCGGTGTTTGGTTTTCTGTCCTTGTGATAGTTTGCTCAGAATGATGATTCTTAAAAGTGCTGCATACTCTCAACTCCCAGGCTTTTGCACTGTACTGTGCCTGCGACAACCTCCCTTCTACTTCCACCTGCCTACCACTCATTGTTGTATTTAATCAGCATTTAAAAAATACCTATTGAGCATCTGCTATGTCCCAGGCATTCATAAAGCTTATATCCCAGTAGGAGGAAACAGACAGTAAACAAGTAAATACGTTACACATCAGAATGTGGCAAGTGCAGGGGAGAAAAAATGGATCATGGAAAAAGCAGCAGAGAACACCAGCAAAGAGTGAGGAATGGGTTGCAGTAAATTCCAAATAGGGTGGTCACTGAAGGCCTCCTTGCAAAGGTGGCATTGGAGCAGAGGTTGAGACCAGGCAGCAAGCCACATGGCTATCTGGGGAACGGGCACTTCAGGCAGAGGGAAGAGCAAACGCAAAGGCCTGAGACGTGGTGGGTTCAAGGCACAACAGGAGGCCAGTGGCTGGAGCAGACAGGGCAAGGAGGAGCCCTGAAAGGGATGGAGCCAGAGAGGTCAGGGGGACAGACCACATCCAGTGCTATAGGCCACTGGAAGGACTTTGTTCTTTTCTCTAAGGGAGCTGAAAAGCCATTGGAGGGTCTGGAGCAGAGGACCTCTCTGTTGGGTTAGGAAACCACTGGAGAAAGACAAAGGGAAGATGCAGGGAGCATAATTCATAAGCTGCTGCCACAGCTTCAGCTTTCAGTGCCTGCTGAGACAGCACTTGCTCTGGAAAACTCTTCCTGGTTCCATGGATAAAAGATCAATTGCTTCCTGGTCCTGGATATTCTCATCACAGAAGTCACCACAAAATCCTGCAATTGCCTGTTTCCTTTTCCTCGAGTTGCAGAGATTGTAAAACTCTGTGCAGCAGAAACTGTGACTATCTTACACCGTGATACAGTTCCAAGACCTGTGCCTTCGAACATGGTAGGTGCCTACATACGTGGTAGGTACTCTAGAAATTTCTGTCAGACGGCTGAACTCCACCAACAATTGTATGGCTGTAAATATCACTGTTTTTGGTTTTATTAAACTCAGTGTTTATTAACTAATAATCCACATCATTGACTAGAGAAACACTGGGTGGCAGAGAAAAAGGTAAAGAGGCCAGGCAGGTGTGAGATAGACCCAGCCTGGCAGAAGCAGGAGCTTAAAGAACCACATCGTCTTTAAATTTTTCTATTTTTTAATTTTTGATTGACAAACAATGATTTGTTTAATTTCAATTTTTTTTTATTTCAATAGCTTTAGGGGTACAAGTGGTTTCCGGTTACATGGATTAATTGCATAGTGGTGGAGCCTGGGATTTTAGTGCACCCATCACCTGAGTAGTGGACGTTGTACCCAACAGGCAGTTTGTCATTCCCCACCCCCTGCCCACCCTGCCTCTTCTAAGTCTTCAATGTCCATTATACCACTCTGCATGTCTTTGCATACCCATAGCTTAGCTCCCACTTAGAAGTGAGAACATGCAGTATTTGTTTTTCTATGAGATATAATAATTGTATACATGTATCGGGTATGTGACATTTTTTGATCATGAATACACTGTAGAATGATCAAATCACGATAGCTAACATATCCATCACCACACACACTTCTTTGCGGTGAGAATATTTAAAATCCACTTTAAAAAATTAATTTAGAAAGATATACATTACTATTAACTGTAGTCACCTTGCTATACAATAGATCACCAAAATTGATTTCTTCCATCTAACAGACTTGTATACATTCGCCAGCATTTTCCTTGTTCTCTATCCACGTCCTACCACTTCAGCCTCTAGTAATCACCATTCTCCTCTACTTCGATGAGTTCAATTTTTCTAGATTCCACAAGTAAGTGAGATCATGTGATATTTATCTTTCCGTGCCTGGCTCATTTCAGTTAGCACATTGTCCTCTACGATCATCCATGCTGTTCTAAATGACAGAATTGTATTGTTTTTAAAGGCCGAACAGTATTCCATCGTGTATATATATCACATTAAAAAATCCATTTATCCTTTGATGAGCATTTATGTTGTTTCCATCTTTCCCATTGTGAATAATGCTGCAGAGAACATGGGAGTGCAGACATCTCTTCACTGTACTGATTTCCGTTGCCTTGGATAGATACCCAGTGGTGGGATTGTTGGATCATATGGTAGCTCTATTTTTAGCTATTTGAGGAACCTCCCTACTGTTTTCTAAAATGGCTGTATGAATTTACATTTCTACGAACAGTATATGAGAGTTCCCTTTGCTCTACCTCCTCATCAAACACTTGTTATCTTTTATCTTTTTTGATAATAACCATTCTAACAGGTGTGAGGTGATATCTCATTGTGGTTTTCTCTCATGATTAAGAATGCTGAACTTTTTTTATGTATCTATTGGCCATCTGTCTTTTTTTAAAAAAAAGACAAGGTCTCGCTCTGTCACCCAGGCTAAAGTGCAGTGGCCTGATCACGGCTCATTGTAGCCTTGACCTCTCCAGGCTCTGGTGATCCTCTCACCTCAGCCTCCTGAGTAGCTGGACTACACGCATGTGCCACCATGCCTGAATACTTTTTTGTATTTTTGTAGAGATGGGGTTTTGCCATGTTGCCCAGGCTGGTCTCAAATTTCTGGGCTTAAGCAATCCACCTGCCACAGCCTCCCAAAGTGCTGGGACTACAGGGGTGAGCCAACATGCTTGGCCTGTATATATATACACACACACACACACACACACACACACACACACACACACACATATATATTTTGAGAAATGTATATTTAGGTCCTTTGCTCATTTTTAAATAGGGTTATTAGTTTTCTTGTTATTGAGTAGTTTGAGTTCCTTATTTATTTTGGATATTAACCCCTTACCTGATGCATTATTTGCAAATATTTTTTCCCAATCTGTAGTTTGTCTCTTCATTCTGCTGTTTCCTTTGCAGTGCAGAAGCTTTTTAGTTTGATGCAATCCCTTTGATCTATTTTTACTTTTTGGCCTGTGCTTTTGGGGTCACATTTAGGAAATCACTGCCCAAATCAATACTGTGCAGTAGTTTTTCCCTATGTGTTCTTCAAGTAGTTTTACAGTTTCTGGCCTTCCATTTAAGACTTTAATCCATTTTGAG